CCTGGTTTGATAAATATTCAGAAGTTTGTTGCCTTTTTGTAATATTATAAAAACTTTTGAAATATAGTCTGCAGAAATGTCTCATCTCATTTTGAATCCTGCTAAGCAATTTGCTTCTAATGTTTTGTGAAAGTGGGTTTCAGAAGCTAATTTTGCTTGGTGGAGGCAAAAATCATTTCCTTTTTTGAATTTGTCATGTTTGCTTCACTGGGAATTGCATCACTGGATTTTTGAAGCTGAATGAATCAAAAATTACTACTTTGTCTTCATACAGCAATTGTGGTTTATGTGCTTCTATCATATGTCCTCTTCATTATCTCTTCTTCATATAATTACACTGATCTTTTCGACTTCATCTTTCAATTTGTGAAGATTTGTACTGTGTCTTTAATGATGCAAATGGCTATTCCTGCAGTTCCCTTTTCTGAGACAGAATAATCAGATCCAAAAAAGTTCTTTGAGAGAATGCCCCCTTCTGACTCATCTTGCTCATCTCAGTATCTTGCTGATGGTTTTTTGCTTTATTTCGATTTGATTGTCACTGACCACAGGTTTTCACTGTGCTTTCCACAATGGTGTCTGGACTGTTGAAGCTAGTGGTAGTTTTGCAAAAACTAGTTCATTGGGAACATGATTTCAGTACTAGGACTTTCTTAAAATAATTTTTGAACGTGATGCATACCACTTGTTCAAAGTACTCCTTACAGAATTCAGTATTTTGCGTTTTCAGCATTGCATGTGTTTCCTTTAGACTTCTAAGCTGTTCCTGTATCCTTATATCCAAAGTGACGAGGAAGAGACTTTTTCTGTTACTATGGTCATTAGAGTGCATGGCACAAAGCAGAAACTGTTTAAGTAGAAATGATCAAAATGAATGATACAGGAACTTCTTTGTGCCTCTTTCGGGTACTTTTAGTAGTTTACTATAATCATGCACCTAAAGTGTTCTTAAAAATAAAAAAAAATCATGAATTGATAAATGAAATGACAGAATATGAATCTGCGCCTTGGGTGCTCAACCATCATTTGATAATGGGCTTCACTGAACGTTTTCTTGAAACAAAAAAATTGCATCTGGTTTTACTTTAACGGCAACAGTATTTAACTGCTAGTAATGTCAGATATGTGTCCAGTCATGTAGTGTTTATGGATCTCTGGTTGCCCTGATGTAGTTGTTCATAAAGAAAAGCAGAGATATTTCAGTCCAGGCACAGCACCTCCTAAGCCAATCCCGCACATCAGTGGAACAGCTTGCACCATGACTGCGCTTTCCATCAGCAGGGGAAGGCTGGGTAAAGCTCAAGTCCCCTAAAGGGCAAAGTGCCCTCAAATTGTAGCTATGTAAGTCATTCCCGGTAAAAGAAGTTGTTGGTTTTTCAGTAAGAACCTGAAATGAAGGTTCATGACATTTCTAATAGTGCTGTGGGATCCTGAGGACTCTCATAGCTTATTCTTAGAATTTTTCATCTCTTGAAAATTGTGTTGTGTTAGCACCAATGATCATTAAGCTTTATACTAACAATCAGCGTGGTACATAGTGCTTTCAGCAGATCAAGATCCAGTATTGAATTTTTCTGCCATAATGGCAGAAAAGAGTTTTGAAGAAAGGGTAACAGGTAGATTTTTTATTTTTTTTGAATGGGGAACTGCTTCCAACCATAGTAGGGAAGTGCTCAGTGAAAGCTGGCATAGTTAATCTACTGAAGGAAAGAAAGGATGTGAAAGAGGAAGTACCTGAGAAAGGCTGAAAAATAATCTAATTAGCTAACCTTTGAAGTGGAGGGGGAGGGATGGGATAGACTGTTTACATCCACAATCTGGTTAAATACAAATGGGCCAAGGTTACGTCGAGACCACCAAGGAAGATGTTGAAGTAATCGAAGCAGAAGACAATGAAAGTTGAGACACGCTCCTGGGTGGGAGTTTCCGTTGTGCATTGACAGAAAAGGCTATCCAAGAGACAGTTTGAAGAGCTGAACAGCAAGATGTAGACAAAGCTTGGATCTGATTCTGTGAGAAGAGTTGAAGTTGATGCTGAGCACAGGATCTGTCATGGTGATGAGTGCAATTACCTGGAAAAGACTTTGAGAGGGGATTTGGAGTGGGGGAAGAAGATGTTAAATAGCTCTATTTTAACAATACCAAGTTTGCTCTGAGCTTACTGCTCTGTTGACAAGCTATTCAGAATTCCGGGGATGCATTGAAAAGGTGAATTAGTAACCAATTTGCCCTCTGTAGAACCAATATATATTATAGTTTTTAATTTTCTTTTATAGGACAATTGTTATTTGACAGTTACTGGTTGAAGTGTGTTTTTAAAAGTTATTCAATGAAATAAGTTCTGGTATAGGTATTATAGTATTATTAAAACAAATCAAAGACTTTTTTAAGGTTGTTTTTGAGGGTATTAGTACAAACTATAGCTTCCACATTTGAAAAATATTACATTTCTTCAATCTGATTGTTTACTTTTGGGAGGGACCCTTCACGATAATGATAATAAAGCTTGGTACTATGGGACGTTGATGGACCTTAGATATAGGAAAGATAATTATTTTTTTCAGCCATAACTCAGAGTTGTACTGAGTCAACAGCAGTGACAAATAGTAAGAAATCACAAGACACAAATGCTATCTAAATCCTATGTCTTAATTACTTTCTTAATAATAATTATTTTCTAAATAAATTTAGAAAAGGCAGTATTTTAAGTTTCCATGCTATAGATGCTCTAGATCACTATAAAACTGCATGTTTAGTTTATTAAAACATTACAGATAAGGTGTGTCTTTTTATGACATACTAGTGGCTGTATTTTGACTTCAGTGATGCATATGTGTTTCTGAGATGAAACAAATAAAAGCCTTGTCGACAATGGTGAGGGCAGGATTTGACATTCCTTGAAAACATGTTAAAGTTAATACGGTGGGATTTAAGCTTCCTGTTCCCGTTGCTGTTGGTGTAAATGGAGTTAACTCATTGTCAGCCAGTTAAAGAGTTTTCGGTTTTGGATGGATATTTTAGTCTGAGATAAGGAGTTTCTACTCCTGCTGTTGCTCGACTTGAGCATGGGACTAAGAGGTCCAGGAGTGGGCTTAGATAGAGGCAGGGGAGCGGAGCCCTAACAGTGGGTTTTCCATGGGGTAGGGGGCTCTGAACGTGGCATGTTGCTGGGCTCACCTCTCACTGTGTGGGATTGCTCCGATCCCTGCAGAATACTGTATTCCTGTACAGGAGGAGCAGTCACGTTTTGGAGCTCAGCCAGGTCCAAACACTGTTGCTAATACTATTAAATAAGACAACATAAATATTAAGGGCCAAAATATCTTCACTGCAAATAAATAAAATGGTATACCCTGCCAAGTCTTACGAGCTTTTCTTAGGAGGAAGCCCTGAGATTTTCATTTAATGGCATGTCTCATTTTAAGCTGCTAAAAACTTGCAAGGAAAATGGTGGTTGAAAATGGTGGGTTTGAGCTTTTACTGCTGATGATTGTTACACTACAGCATTGCCGGTTTGTATCGATAGAGGAAGGTTGAACTGGTTCATCTACTACTTTTCTTCAGCTTGAATGAAATGGAAAAAAGTAATCCTATGTCATTAGCAAACTCCCATGGAGTTCATGTATTGTAATCTTTGTTTCTATTTTGATACTGCCAAGGACATATATAAAAATAAAATGCCTTGATTCTGCTTCCAGTGCAATCTGTTTGATTTTGGTTGTCATATTAACCAGGAGCCGAATTAGGCTTATATAACTAATTCTAATGCTGTTCACTCTAATGCAAACCTAATAACGATGGGGAAAACATCAGTCTGTAAGTGTGGGGCTTTTCTGTTTAAGAAACAATTTTAAGACTTTTTTGGCTAGTGGTCAGCACTGTTGCAGTAAGCATAGCTCTGCGTTCCTCTGCTGCGGTCTCCATTAGTCTTTTTCTCCTCCTTTCTGCCCCCTCTCCCCCTGTTTTTCCTTTTTCTTCAGGAATTTTCCTATATGCAAGAGCTGTCCTCTGGAAGTCTTTTTTGAGACTTCCAAGATTTGCATTGAAACAGTCTGCTTGATACTTTGAGGAAAAATGAGGAAAAGCCGTTGGTTGTGCTGCACAAGTTTTCTCCTGAGCAATTCCAAGTGTTTGAAGACTCAAGATAGTTCAGTTTCAGTTTCTTGAAAGCAGGTCCCTCAAAGCGGCTCTGAATCGATATAGGATGAACTTATTTTGCAAGCAAGGAAAACAAACAGAAAGCCCAGTGTACTGTAACTGTGCTTGTTTGTGTAGGAAATTAAAGTGATCTCTATTTCACTCCGGTCAGCTCTCAAGAGTGTACAGGAAAACTGATAATTTGCTAAAGGATTTCCTTTTGGATTTTCAGTGACATGTTTGGTTACCATAACACTGCTGTTTTAACCCGATGAACACAGCTGTAAGGCTGAAGATTAAGTTTTAGGGGACTGGTGGGGTGGGGTTTTTTTGTTTGTATGGTTTTTGTTTTGTTTTGAACACTAAAGAAATACGGTGAGGGCTGGTGTGTTGATTAAACTGACTTTTGTAGAAACACTGCTAGGACTGTGCTTATGATGTGTATGAAAGTATCCAAAGAGTAGGGTGTATCAAAACAGCTATGCTGCTAATGTTGGAAAAGGAGCACGCTTTGTATTCTTTACAATGGTGGTTAATATTTCTTCACAAGAAGCTACTTGCTGTGAACACAGCACTCTCGAGCCTGGAAACTGCTTTACCTCCAGGGTAGAAGTAATATTTCAGTTTGCAGGCATTCGTACCAGATGAGTTTTGAACACAAATTACTGTATTATTCTCTGATTTGACATTCTTTATTGTGTAGCTGAAAAACAGAGCTGAAATCAGCAGAATTTACAAGCGTCTTGGAAACAGGTTTTATTTCAATTAGGAAGTGCTTTTGATGTTTTTTAACGAACTGGTTTTGGATTAACTTGGATCAATGTTAATGGGTTAGTGTCTTCTCTTTTTGCCTTTTGATACAGGAATCAGGAACTTAAAGACTTGGGAGAACTTGCTCCGCACTGGGACAATATGCGCAAAAGTGTTATTGCTCACTGTGATCAGATGTTGAGCATGTACCAGGATACTCTTGCAGAACTTGGGAAGCATACAGGTATGAATCTATGATTCTATGAAAGTAGCCTCTTCTCTTCTGGAGCAGTTAAGAATTAACTGCATTGATTGTTAGTAAATACTGGCTTATTCAGCAGAAATAAAGCACATATATGAAATATTTGTAATCATTGTTATTTCTGAGATACTCACAGGTGCCCTATTTCCTCATCTAAATTTTTTTCATGCATTCCAGCAGTTTTTCCAGTTTTTCACAGTTAACCTGGTACGTAGTTACACAGCAGCCATAAAAAACCCAGAGGAGTGTGTGTGTTTCAATTGCCCGTTCTCTTGAATATGCTGCTCGGCTAGGATTGAATACCGTCTACCAACTGAAACCAGTCTTAGAGGTAGTTTTGTCAGTGTTTCTTGAAACTTAACTTAAATTTAACAATCTACAGGATAACAGTAACATCTAGCTATGCTTTGTGTATCCTTAGTGTAGTAGTTGTCATTGCCCATGTTGTGCCAGAAAAGCACAGAATTAATATGGGATGGGCAGTCTGTCCTCAGTCCAGAAACAGCAGTACGTGCTGCCTTGCGTTTTTTCATGTGGAGACGATGGTCTTATATTCTGATGTGCACTGGGTGCTTGTTCAGTTAATATCTGCCAGAGTCCTGTGGTCAGGGACTATAATGTATCATAGTGTCTGCGTGCCAGTGGAATAAGACAGCATCAGTGACAAATGTGCAGAAAAGGCAGTTGGTCTTTTCCTCCTGTAGTAACTCTTATAAAAAGAACAAGACCACAGAACAAATTATTTCTTCTTTTGAATTTCTTTTCTTTTGATTGTTTACAAATCATTCAAGGAACTTATGATAATTCTTTTCTATTTTGTGAGACTACTGGAATTATTTCCTGAGTAACACTGTGCTTTGAGCAAACAAAGCTTTTTCTGTCTGTTTATAGCATGCCTTCCTGCCTCTTCCTGCTGGTGCGCTCCCCGCCTCCCTGAGTTTTTGAGATGTTCTGGAAGGAAATGGGCACATTTGTTCTGAATTACTACAAAGGCCTTGTTGTTGTTGCTGTTTTCTTTCTGGTGTCAGATTTCTCATGCAAGTCCTCACAATCACCATCTCAAATATGTGTTTTCGATGACTGTACTGCCATTATTATTGCATATGCTGTTTCACTCTCTGTTCTCACCATTAGATGTTCCCCCTGTGGCCTTGCTCCCACAATTGCATGTGTGTAGGCGTAGCAGTGCATGTCAGAGGTAAACGCTCTGCATTGAGCCTTACGTATACGTAAGTTTGCAGCCTAGAATATTTCTGAAAAAGGGTTACATTATGGTTATGAATAATTGTAAAAATAGAGGTATAAATGATGATAACATCTTTTGAAAGATCTGGTGTATATTTTTGGAGAATTTGCAGTATTTTCTTAATAATTTCTAGCTTCCTACATACTCCAAGCAAAACGGTTTTTGTGTGTACTGAGAAATAGAGCAATCAGGTTTTAGTTCAATATACAACTAAAATGCATAGCAGAATAATTTCTTCTTATAGAGAATTGGATGCATTTACTTTTATTATAATGAATCTGCTGCATTTAGTAGGTGAGACACAAATCTTTCCCTTCCAAAATCGGCATTAAAACTGTGATTTTATCCTTTGACCATCATCTTCTAATACAGGACTGAGCATGGTATTTCTCATTCCAGATTGCTCTGGGATAGCTTTCTTGGTCTCAGGAAAAGAGAAACTGAAACTAAGTGTTTTGGGAGTGGTTGATCACCTGCTTAAATGGGTTGGGGGCATGGGGAAGCTCATCTGTTACACTAAATCTTGTATAATAATTTGCATTATGGTTGCAATTTCTTGTGTTCATGATTGTTTATCTTCATCAGAATATTCCAGTTCTGATTTTGGCAGAAGACTGCCTGATCCAGTTTCACACTTCCTATGTTTCTGTGTTTTAACTAATCTATATGGGGTTTTTAATGCTTTGCTAATTAGATTGTGAAAGCACTCCATAAAGCGTCATATGCAAGGCAATAAATACAGATTATGAAGGAATCAATGTAATAATTACAACTTGCAGGAAAATATTGAAATGACCTTTTGAGATTTTTAAAAAAAAAAAGACAATGTACTCTATTAAGCATAAATCCTGCAACACCTGTATTGTGCCAAGTGAATTTAAAAAGGGTTGGTGATGTTAAATGACCTGTCTTAACTGTGGTTTGAGACAACTGCAGTGGACCAGGGAACCTAAGAGTATTGAGGAGGACAGAACCAGCATATATAAAAGAAGACTAGGAACATTTCTCTGAAAACCAAAGCAACCTAATAATCATAGTGGAGATGAGAAATAATGAGGAGGTGTTAATTTGCAGGCCAACACTTGGGTACATACCCAAATCTCATCTTCAACAACCCTTCTTTTTTCCTTCTTTACTGATACAGTGCTGGTAAAATACTTGTTTATGCTTGGAAAACCCCTGATTTTGCATTTTGTGTGAAAAGTTACTTTAACATTTGAGAACTTATTTTATTGTGATTGGGGGATATGTGCACATTCTAAAGCCAGATAATAGCCCAGTCCTACTAATGAAGACGATATTTACTTTTAACCCTGCACGATAGTGTTTTTGTTCTTATAAATCACAAATCAAATTAGATGATAAATCCTCTGAGTAGTGAGTGTCCCTTTAAAGTTGGCCCATAGAGATCTAACATTTTTTATTCATAAATATAAAAGGAGCGGGGAGGGATGTATTGTATATATGTATGTAGAGCTAGGCTAAAACCTCAAATCTATGTTTTTGGTCCTGTAGGCAATGTAGGATTTGGCTGCCCAAAAGTAAAACAAGATCTAGAACAGATTCTTGTATGCTTCTGCTGTCCATAACTTGCCTTTAACCAGATTTTTTTTCTGCCTAGATAATTTGCAACAAGTAATTCCAATTCTTTGTGAAACAGATTAATTTCCTTGCATACAGTTTTCAGAAGTTTGTCCCTACTGCTTTTTTTTTTCAAATGAATAGGGTAGATGTGGATAAAATTCATTACATGTTTTAAGATGTCCTGGTTCCTCTTCCATTCCCATTTGGGACAGTTCTTCTCTATAAACAGTACACGTTATAACTTTAAAAAAACAAGATCATAGTGTTTGATAAGAAAAGCAAGTCAGACATATATTTGACTGCATACTGTAGTTGCACAAAAAATAATGTTGAGAGAACGTTTTAGAGAGTGGAAATTTAAGTACTCACAAGGTAGAAGAATGTTAAAATTAGAGATGGGAGTACAACTTTGATTCAGACTTTTCATGTCAGAGTTTTTCAACACAGTCTTTACTTCCCGATTGTCAGCGATTCATGCCAAAAAAGATTTTGTTTACGGTTCGGCCTATGTAGGCTTCTTACTTTATCTTAGTCAGTGCATTACCGCACTTTGGGTTGAAGCAGTTCTGTCCATTCTGAAACAGCCTGAATGTCGCAGTGCCCTGCTGTACCTGTCCATCTGCGCTGGAGATCCAGGTCTGCTCAGAAACAGGCACCCGTCCTAGTAGGGGTAGTTTGCCATTAGCAGTACTTCTACTTGAGAACTCAACAAGGTTGGTTTTCTAAACTAGACCAGGCTTCTGTTATGCAAAATTCCTGAGTTGGGTTGTTATTTTGGGAAGCCTTATTTTAAGACAGGGCCAACTGGCCGTATTCCTCTAGCAAAGCCAGGGAGTGCTTTTGTATTTGCTTTGCCACCATGTTGGCAGCCAGAGATATGTGGAAGCGCTAAACTCATTGACACTCTTCTGCCTCCTTGTACAACAAAAGCAGGTTTAATGTTAACCTGTTTAGTTATTTTTTGCTTTGTTATTCCCCGAACAATTCCTTTCTTTTAACTTTTTACATGTATCTTGTCACAAACAATTCTGAAGAACCAACTCCATGCAAGTCATCTAGGTGCACGTGTCTCCGATCTCCTTTTGTATCAGTGCTAGGGAAGACTGTTTACTCATAAGCAATGTACAGAAGGGGAGATAGCATCTGCAAATAAAATTTTTGCAAAATATTCCCACATTACTCCTATACAATCACATGTTGGGTTTTCTGAGAGATACTTACTTCATGCTCAACTGAGCTATTTGTGGAATTTAATGGAGAAGGCTATTGTTAGTAGACCACTTGATTTCTTTTTAAAATTGAGAGATTGCAGTGAAAGTGTCAGGGGACTGCATTAGTGTTAGACAGCGATTTTGGTTTAGCAGCGTATTTACTGAAAATGGAGGTTTAAGGAAGTTACGACTATTTCAAATATGAGTTGTTTTGGCAAACAACTTTATTCTCAAAAATGGGGGAGAATTTTAGAGAATACCAAGTATTTGTTTCAAGAAAACATAATAACAGGAATCTAAAAAGGTTAGGTAACGCCAAAACAAATCATTTCAGGTTAATCTAAAACACAGACTTGGTGAGTTTGGGAGGCAGTAGAAATTTGAAACTTCTTTTGTTTGTTTTAGTTTGACCTGAAATGATTCCCCCCCACCCATTTTTTTTTTTCCATTTCAGTCATCAAACTGAAAATTCTGTTATTCATCTGGCCCTAGAAGGAGAAAAGACAATCAAGGCAATTGAGTATTGCTCTGGAGAACTGGACACTATCCCTGCCTCTGTCACAAAGTTCATATTGTCACTAGGCAAGTCAGACTTCAAAAAGTGGTTAGTGTGTGGTGGGTTTTTTTTGAAGCCTGACAATAGACACGAGCTGTTTTGCAGAAATACTCAGTATTTATGGATGTAATTCAGCTCAGTGGGAACTGTCTTTCCAAAATGGAGTGTGATGTTGCATTATAATGCATGCTCTGCAGAAAGAGATTCTCCATATCTTGTATTGATGCATTGTTTCTTAAATGCTTTGACCTTAAGTTACTCTCTGGCATTAGAATGGATAAAATTATAACCCTTTTACTCAGCCAGTTAAACTTATTCTATAAATATTTGTAAAGCCCTCAGAAACTGTTGTTATGCATGCAGTTGACAGGTTTAAGGAAATTAATAATCCTGTCTTTGTGGGAGACTCGAGCAATATATTTGAATCCAGATACCTAAGTAAAAGTTGGAAACAAAATACTGAATCACGGCTTCTAAAGCAAGCAGCAAAGACCCTAAACATTCAATGAGCTGGAAAAACCTAGTATGTGATTTGTCATTGAAGTCTATTTCACACTTCTTCTCCAGGTGGATGTCAGATGAAGATTGCTTCTATATTCTGGTATTTCCTAACTTTGAAGAGTTTAATCTTGCAACAATAGTAACAACTGTTTTAATAGAGGGAATGTAGTTTTCCTGTAGTCCTTAAATGCAATTTACCAATTTACCAATTTATTTAAAAACAAACTACACTGAAAATTAGTTTTATCATATGGGTGATACTGGCAAATACAGCTTGGGATATTAATTCCACTGCATGGATCTCATACCTGAGTAAACAGAATAACTGATAGCAGTGGGTGGTTATTATCCCATATGTTTCTGGCACTGGATGGGAAGGAATTCTTGCTTCATAGGTCCTCTCTGAGAAGCAGAATAACAAGACTTGACGATGCTGCGTGTGTTCTACTCTAGCTCAGGATAGAAGTGTACTCCAGGGAGAGGAGGCTCTTCTCCCTCCAATTCTTCTTTTGCCTGTTCTTTGTAATCTGCTCTCATTTTATTCTCCTCTTTAGTCTGCCAGTGTTTCCTTGTCTTGGATCCAGTTATCATTCCTTAAGCTTTGATCTTGGTCTCAGCTGAATTTTCATAAATAATCTGCCCCTTTTCTGTTTTCTTTCCTAGTGATTTACAATCTCCTCACCTGCACTATTCCCATTCCTTTTCTGATACAGTTCAAGTTCCCTTCACTGCTCCCATAATTTTGTCTTTCTACACTTTCCAGATGCAAGTTTCCCACTGCTATTCCTCATCATCAATGACTTCTGGTTTCAGCCTGCAACCTCAGGTTTCCTTTCACATCTGAATCTTCGACTCCTGTCAACTGGTTTTCTTACTGCCTTTGCTATTAATCTTTGTTAAATTACTATTTTAAGTTACTAAGCTTAGGTAGCAGTCTAAGCAGGCTTGGCTGGTCTGGAGCATCATTGGTGCCCTCTGGCAATGTGATTTACATTGGGAGGTTCAACAGTTTGAACAGATAACCTCTATCAAATAAATCTTGATTGAGCAAGTCAAAAAGAAGAATTTCAGATATTTCCTATATATGATGTTTTTTTGCAAGAAAAGGTTGATCCTTTCCAAGGATGATTTTTTTTTTTTTTTTTAAATTCTATCTGGATTGGAAGAATTTTAGTCTAAGTGATTAATAGTTGGCAAAATGATAGGGTGCTGAAAAAATGGTCCAAGTAATTGTTGGGCTGCTTGAGTGAGAAGATAGGACTACCTCTTTTTGCTAATCTACACCCTTTTATTTTGTATATAAGCTGTATCAAATATCTCCTGGTAAATTACATTTTCATACTGTCAGGCTTTAATTATATTCCTTTATACCACCATAGAGTTACTCATAATCTCATACTTTTGAAGTATGCAATCAGATTTATTTTTGTTTCCCAGAGCATTGTGCTTTTTGTGATTCTGGGTTTTTGGAAAGAAAACTAATTTATAGCTTTTTTTCAAGCTAGTTTATGTTTCTTTGTTTGAACTCTCAAGGAAGAATCCATAGCCTAGTCAATGTAATACTTTTGTTTGAAGACAAAAATGTTACTTGGTGAACATGTAGTACCCTCATAGCTCTGTACCCCTGTGTTTTTAGCACAGAATAAACATAATGCACATTAACTGTGACATTGTTTCCAGCAGACTGCAGACCGATTTCAAACAGCAGGAGAAAATGTCTATTACCTAGAATAAAAAATTAGATTGTTCTGTGAATTAAAAGCTGTTTTGTTGCTTCCAATATGGATACATGCTGAGACTCAGTTGGTGAACCATTCTTCTCCTAATATACAATTACACGTTAAAAGTAAATTAGAGGAGTCTTCTAACATACAAGTATTGTGCTCGCATTGAAAAGAAGACAAAACATCTGCTGGGTGCTTAAGGTAATGATTCTTTAAACTTTTGTTTTTCAGGTTCTTCCTTCAAATCAAGCTGTAGCAAAGGAGAAAAAACATTAGAATTCATCCCAATTAATCTTCATTTGCAAAGAATGCACGTGCATAGTCCTCGATTGAAAGGTAAAGTGTATTCTGTGGAGAAATTCCCCAGGTATGACAAAGTATGCTTTGAAATAGAATTAAACTTTCAACTGAGAGGTATGGTTTCCATTTTAGCCCTTTTTAAGATGTAAATAACTTAATTTTTATATCCAGTTTCAAGGACGAACATTAGGTGAACATGAATTTCAGATGAAACCTTACAACCACAATAGAACTGAAAGGTATGCTGTTTAGAGAGTTGAATCTTGGTGACTTGGAATTTTTCACTTAATGGTAGGATACTGGCAACAGTTTTGTTAAACTTTGTAAGTGGGACATAAAGATGCTACAGATAAAAAGCATAGAAAGTAGTAGTATTTTTTTAGTTAAATTTAGGTGCAATTTTGGCTTATATGGATTTGGAAGAGTGCTGAGGAGAAAAGACTGTCACAAGAAATCGCGTGACGTTTAAAGAAAATTCTGAGATTCATTTCCTGTCGCATGTGTTTTGCCGGTGAGTGATGTTTGTACAGTATCAGCTTGTTTGTAAGATTCATGCAGTATGGCTTGATACAGAAGGTTTCTGGTATGACTAGATTGTTGCTAGGTTTTTCTGTTTGTTTGGTGGTTGTTTTGGTTTTTTTAAATAAAATCAAAATCAACCTTCCAAATTCATTATTTAAAAATCTGTACTGCTGTACGGGCTTAAAGTGGTTAATTTTTCACTTTGTTTAATGGTCTCTAGGAACTTTCTGCGTGGTTATTTCCAGCCTTTGTTTTGTGTACATATCTGGAACCTGCCTGCCTTCCTGAAGGGTTTGATTTCATTCTCTTAGGCCTTTGCATCTGCTTCTAAAACCCAAGCTTTCGGTTTTGAATGTTGTTTGGAATATTTCTAGAGCAACTCAGTGTGTACTGTCCATAGAGGACCACACTTAAGTAAATCATGAGATGAAAGAAGTGGCAAGCTTCACCGTCCTCCACATTTCTCTACAAATTCTGAAACCTGCACCCAGACATACTGCCACTGAGACTGATCAGAAGCCCTGAACTTGTGCTGAAACCTAACAATTAGGTCCAAAGTTAAAACTATGCAAGGCATTTCTCTACCTCATTTTCTGAAGCCACAAGTTTTGGAAAAACCACTATGGAGTGGTTAAGTAAATTTCTTTTAAGGTCTTTTTTTAGAATAAAATCCAGAGGTGTTGTGCTCATTTTTTTTTCTATGACACTTCAAACAAATAAGTAAATGCCGAATATATGTTCACTTGAATGTATTCGTAACCTATACATGGTTAAAAATATTCTCTTGCAGCAGTGCAGAACTAATACTGTCGTGATTCATAATGACACGCTGCACAATGTTCAGTAAGATTCACGTCCTTCTAGGGCATCAGCTTAATTTTTCATTGTGATCCATAAAGTCAGTGTAGCATAAGAGCCAGTCTTACCTGTCTTGTTTCTAAGGTGGGTTGTTGTTCCCCCCACCAGCCCACCGTGCCACCAGCGATAGTGATAGAGCACAATACGTTTCTTCCCAGAGATTGCCAGGCTGAACTCGCCAGCCCAGGTGATGTGAGTTGCATGGTCCCATTAAGGACAGGGTTACTTCTAAAGTTAATATATCCTAGTTCTTAGGAAACCTTAATGAGACCAGCACTGCTTGTGCCTAAATCAGCTTATTCAGTGCTACTCTGTGCCACATAAGCATTTGCTTAGTCGTAAGTGAAAATATCTCACTGATTATGCTGAAAATACCATGAACTTCTAATACCTTCAGGAAAGGGGGATAATTTTCTGTCATGTCATCTGTGATTCTGTTTAATACAGAATTCTGTTGCTGCTGCTTGCATATAATTTTAGCAACATCATTTACGGATCAAAGATTATATTGATACATACATATGAGCAAATCATAGTACAGAGAATAATTTGTTGATAAATTGAGATCTATTACATTTGCTGTCACTGTAGAAAGATGGAAGTTACACTCTGTAAGGTTTTTGCCTTATAAGTAGACTCTGCATCTAAGCAGACTGTAGAACAGTTAAGTACAAACAATGGTTATAGGAGTGTGTACTGTGTACTGCTGATGTTGGAGCATGGGGACTTCTGATTGTCTGTTAGATATTGTATTGGTTCAGTATTTTGTTATTTCTTTTACTAAAAAACAATGCCTCCAAACATTTTAACAAGATGGGGATTTATAGTGACAGAATATGACAGTACAAGTTTTAATTTAGCTAACGTTTTGAAGCTAATTAATTAACTCAAAATCACTTTTAGATTTGTAATGACTACAGGCGGCCAGAACCTTAATTTTGTGCCTTTTCAAGAAAACCTCTCTGGGAATAGGGCATTGTATGTTTATTTGCCAAATAAAAAAGTAGAATAAAATATGCTGCTTCATCATCCACAACTTTTACACTACTTGAGTTTTGTTTTGGTTTTAATGAATTTTCTCCTTTCTCCTCCAAAACCACTTTGCTTGTGGCATATGGTTAATCCATAATTGAAAAGGGTACAGAAAGAGATAAATGTTAGAATCGTCTTCTAAATTTAGAGCTTTGTTTAAATTATAAAACTCTCCCTTTTTTCTTTAGCTAATGTTCACTCCACTGACATGAGAATTAGATAACACTGTTCTTGTTACACTCAAGTTTGGGGATTCCAAAATGTTAATAAAGAAGAGAACTTGTGTTAAAATTGGGGAATTTCTGCTTGCACATATTTTTGGAAGACTGACACTTTTGTTATGGGGAGCTCTCTTTATTTCTCTATATACAAAATGGGTTCCTCAATATGTTTAGGGTATTTTGGCAGCACTATAGCATAAATATAATAAAAAGTAATTGGAGGTTTATTATATTTTCCTTTGGCTGGATCAATGATTTCTGTATCTGTTACATAGCCACTGTCCCATCTGTTTAGTTCACTGAAATAAGTTTCATTTTATGAGCGCTGAAGAGCTGTGCCTTGTATTAGATACTTACAGTTTGAACCGTTTGTAGCAATTGCTACTCCTTCGGGAGTCAGCAGCACTTTGACATCAAGTTGGTCTTTCTCATCTTGTGCTTTCCTTGGCATGTATCAAAGGACACCCAGAATATAACCAGGAGACTGATGGGGGGGGCGGGGGGGAAGAAAGCATGTAAATGTTCACAGAGGTGGTGATTAAACAAGCTGATGAGCCATAAAGCTGTAATTAACCCTTACGCTGCCAGATGTCTTAATTTGGGGAATGCAAGATAGGTTTTAATCCCATCTATCATGTGTATGCACATGGACATGTGCTTTTTTTGTTCAACATGTTCAATAACAGGTTTACTTTTACTGAACTTTGATTTGGGTTGTTACTGGGTGCTGACATGGAATAGAAAATACCTGTGTGTTTAAACTGCCAGTAGGAATAGCTTCGAGAAGAATACTATTTCATTTTGGTTTAATTGTTTGATAAACAATTTGATTTGTTTAACACCACATTTGATAAACACCACATTTTGCTCTGTTCATCATGCCATAGAAGTTAAATTTATATATTGCCGTAGCTTTGCTTTTGTCACTATTTATATGTTGAGAGTGCTTGTCTTAAGTAAATTTGGTGAACTGAAGAGATTTTTATTTTGCTTCAGGCCAGTGTGGGACACTGCCTGCCTCCTGTGAAGGCAAGCAGGCTGCTTCAAATTTGAGATTGAGCTGTGCTTGGCATAAAAATCCCTCAGCTCTTTAAATTGGTCTGGTAAAGCTTAGGTTTATGGAGCTTCTGCCGTGATTGTCACCATGTTGCAAAAGCTGTGTTTTATTCAGGAAGGAGCGATGAGCACGTAGTTTATATTTCTGCATGGTGAAGGAATTGTTGGGTTTTAGTGAGTGAGTATCTGGTGTTAGTACTTCACTTGTATAAGTAGGAGGTAAGCGTATCTTTGAGTCAGATTAGTACGAACAGATGAGTGATTTAAAGCTCAACTTTCTTGCACTCTAATCTTGTGCATTTTCTTCCTTCAAATTCTGAAGTAAGTATTTGAGGAAGGGTTGAGAGGTTTGGGTTTTTTATGTTTATTAATTTTCAGGGAGCACACTGATAATATGATACAGCTCTTAAGACTCTCTCCTGCATTTTAAGCTTTGTCTCCGCTGTAGAGAGTTATCAGGAGTAGTCTGTTCTTGAAGCAGATGATGGTTGTGAGTTACTGGAGCATTCCTGTACCAGTGCACTCATGCTGACGCTGCATGTCCTTCACAAGGAGCTGCATTGATGTGGAAGTGGAGCACGTCACGAGGCGTTCCTCCAAGTCTTGCAGCACTTCCCAGTGTACTGTGCTCTGAGAAGTGGGAGTGAGACTGCCCTGTCCCCATCACCAGGGTCATAGATGTTTTCTTATCCTTTGCCATCCTCACTCTCCCATGTTCTCTCGCATGGGGTAGGTGCTCAGCTGTTCCGGGTGTGTTTGTGTCTCAAACAGCTGCTCCTTGACCATGCTGAGAAGAGGCCGTGGGCTGAATGAAAGCTTCCTTCTGGGTAAATCGCCCCCCGAAGTAGCTATAAGCAGGGTCACTGTTTATTTTTAAAACGGAGTTGGAAAAAACACCAGGGGGTTGTGTTTTAAATGTTTTCCTGTAGTTTCATGAGTTACCTGTAAACATATTCAGAAGCCATTATTCAGTTAACCCGATAGGTTCATCTCTTATTTTGGTTTCAAGCCATTGTTGTTTTAAGCAATAGAAGTACTTATGGTCAAGTACTGATGGAACTCTAATAGCCCAAGATTATGTATTACGGGTAAATCTCTATGAAGACCTGAAAGAATGGGCTATTTAAGAATCTTGAAGCTCACCTTAGGCTAATGAAATTATGCCACTTCTCCTTTTAAGTGGAAATTGAAGAGTCACCAATTCATTAGAGTTCAAATCAATTTGAGCGAATATGCTTGCAGATTCAGCTCTGGAAGTAAAACATAGTTCATTAACTGTGAATCATTTGTACAGTGTTCTTGCTTCTAGGGATATTTATCATCAGAATGCAAGAAAAGTTCTATTTTAGGAGAGGATTAGATATTAATTTACATGGAAATATTCCTTGATGAATAAAATAGCTCACCAAAAAAATTCCTCTAGTGTTTTCTTTAGAAATATGTTTTAAGAATGAGGCATTCTGACCTGTATTTTTATACCTCCAGTAAGCTTGGGCACAAAAGAGATACTGCTTAGTGCAAACGTAAATTCTGCAAATATACATTTAAAC